TTTCCATTGTTAAGCGTTAGGGGAAAAAATACGTTTGGAAATTCTCCTAAAAAACATAAAGAATAGATAAAATAAAAAATCTGAAATTATGAAAAAAACCAACATTAGTGGTAGCTTTAAAGATAGTGCATATTCAAATATGCAAATAAATTAAGAATTTCTACATAAAAAGTGAATTAATCAGAGTTTTCTTCTCCAATTAGGCCTTTTTGAACCTCTGAAATTTCACTTACTATAGAAAACGTGTGACTCTATTAATATGTGGAAGAAATAACTAATTAGTGAAATAATGGTTTAATAATGATTTTAGTACTCTATCAGTGACACAATCAGAGGAGAGAGAAATCACATTGTAATTGGAACAGAAAAAGTTTTCATACAGTCAGTTCTTATTACTGTAAGTAGTTATGTTCTATAAACAAGGAATTAACAAATATTGACCATCATTCTTAGGGGAAATTCAGGATTAGGTTCCTATGAGCATCTGGTCACAACATTTTATTTTCATCAACTGATCAATACACAAGCTTGCTTTGTGTTTCTGTTGAAGGATAACTTATTTAATATATATTGTTGATTCATTAACATTGCACTCTCAGCCAACATTATGTTTCATGCCTGAACAAAGCTTATCTAACAGGTACTTTCTTCATAAGGCACCTCACTGCCTTCTCTTTTTTAAATTTTTTTTCTTTATTGATTAAGGTATTACATATGTGTCCTTATCACCCCACTGCCCCCCCCCACTCATGCCTTCACCCCCCTGGTGTCTGTGTCCATTGGTTAGACTTATATGCATGCATACAAGTCCTTTGGTTGATCTCTCACCCTTACCCCCACCCTACGCTACCTTCCCTCTGAGGTTTGATGGTCTGATTGATACTTCTCTGTCTCTGGATCTGTTTTTGTTCATCAGTTTATGTTGTTCATTATATTCCATAGATGAGTGAGATCATGTGATATTTATCTTTCTCTGACTGGCTTATTTCGCTTAGCATAATGCTCTCCAGTTCCATCCATACTGTTGCAAATGGTAAGAATTCCTTCTTTTTTACCACAGCCTAGTATTCCATTGTGTAGATGTACCACTGTTTTTTAATCCACTCATCTGCTGATGGGCACTTAGGCTGTTTCCAAATCTTAGCTATGGTGAATTGTGCTGCTATGAACATAGGGGTGCATATATCCTTTCTGATTGGTGTTTCTAGTTCCTTGGGATATATTCCTAGAAGTGGGATTATGGGGTCAAATGGGAGTTCCATTTTTAGTTTTTTGAGGAAACGCATACTGTTCTCTACAGTGGCTGCACCAGTCTGCATTCCCACCAGCAGTGCATGAGGGTTCCTTTTTCTCCACATCCTCGCCAGCGCTTGTCGTTTGTTGATTTGTTGATGATAGCCATTCTGACAGGTGTGAGATGGTACCTCACTGCCTTTTTACACCTAGGAACACTAGCCAGCACTTCAGAACGATGTTTAAGGGCTATTTTAAGCAGTGAAATCACTAATAAAAAGCACAAAAATGGGAAATGGGGTGCTAAGTAGATTGTGAAAAGAACACTTGTTTACAGGATAAGAGGTGCAACAAGAAGGCAGAGTGTTGCCTTGTCCCCATGCAAGTTAGGAATGTTAAAAACAAACAAACAAAATTCAACCAAGTAAATTTGAAGAACTAATTAGCTTTATTAAGTGATTCTCAAATCAGGCAGCATCCCATCTCGAACAAGTTGTACTAAATGAAAGGTTTTATAGGAAGAAGGGTGGGGGCAAAGAAGCTACTTACCAAAAATATATACATATATTTTAGACCAGGACATCTTGTTTGGGAGGAGGTTAGGAGGGAGGGGATGGCAAGAGGTTTTAGCTTGTAAACTGCCCATCTTGGGAGTGGGGAGGAGAAATATGGAGAGGGCCCAGGTGACCGATTACTGATATTTGATCAGAAAATTCCAGACTGATTAAGATTATGTTTCTGGGAGAGGTTGAAAGAACAATTCAGTCGGGTATTAAATCTAGGTGTTGGTATCATGCTATCAAAGTGACACAGAATTTCTTGATGAGTGGAAACCCCACACATCTGGTATCAGATGTGAAGTATGTTGTAGTAAAGTATTGAGTGTAGAGGAGACACACAGGAGAGAGTTTCCTTGGATTCAGGGGCAGCTACAGGAGCTGAGCACTGGAAAACCCCAGCAAGAACCTACAAGCAAAACCCTCTCCTCCTCCAATGTCTCTCCAGCGTCCTCTAGTGACAAAACATTGTGTCTGCTGGCAAAGGAAAAGTATTTAAAGGGCTCAGATCCATTTTTACAGAGCAGGCAAAAATAATGGTTTTGAAACCAGGAGAGGACAAATTAAATAACTAGTACAAGTACTATACTTAGGGGCAAAAATAGAATATTGGGGACTAGCTCATAGTTATAAGAAATATTGCCCTGCCGGTGTGACTCAGGTGTATTGAGCATTTTTTTTTTATGTTTTTCTTGATTTCAGAGAGAGGAAGGGAGAGAGAGAGAGAGAGAGAGTTAGAAACATCAATGATGAGAGACAATCATTGATTGGCTGCCTCCTGCCCATCCCCTACTGTGGGATCAAGCCCACAAGTCAGGCTGTGCCCTGACCAGGAATCAAACCGGTGAATTTTTTTTTTTAAATATATTTTTATTGATTTCAGAGAGGAAGGGAGAGGGAGAGAGAGATAGAAACATCAATGATGAGAGAGAATCATTGATTGGCTGCCTCCTGCACATCCCCAACTGGGGATCGAGCCCACAACCCAGGCATGTGCCCTTGACCAGAATCGAACCTGGGACCCTTCGGTCCGCAGTCCAATGCTCTATCCGCTGAGCCAAACCAGCTAGGAAAAACCGGTGAATTCTTGGTGCATGTGTAGATGCTCAACCGCTGAGCCACACGGGCTGGGCTCAAGTACATTTTACATTTAATATTATTTTGTATTAGTTTCAGGTGCACAACATAGGGGTTAGATAATAATATACTTTACAAAGTGTCCCCCGACCCCTAATATTTCCAGAACCCAACTGGCATCACACACAGTTATTACCATATTATTGTATATTCCCTACGCTATACTTTATATCCCCACGTTATTTTGTAACTACCAATTTGTACTTCCTAAACCCTTCACCTTTTTCACCCAGTCCTCTGACGCCCTAGCACGCATCTAGCAACATCAGTCTGTTCTCTGTATCTATATCGTTTGTTCAGTTTCTATTCTGTTTGTTCAGTTTTTTGATCTTTAGCCTTCACATGTAAGTGAAATCATATGGTAGTTGTCTTTCTCTGACTGATTTATTTCACTTAGCATAATAGCCTGTAGGCCCACCCATGCTGTCACAAATGTTCAGATTTCATTCTTTTTTATGTCTGAATAGTATTCCACTGCATATATGTACCACCACTTTTTTTACCTACTTGTCTATTGGTGGGCACTTGGGTTGCTTCCCTACTGTAAATAATGCTGCATTGAACATTGGGGTGCATATGTTCTTCTGAATTAGTGGTTTGGGTTTCCTTGTATATATACAAGGAAATTCCTGGGTCATAAGGCAGTTCCATTTTTTATTTTTTTAGGAACCTCCCTACTGTTTGCCAGAGTGGCTGTACCACTCTGCATTTCCATCAACAGTGCATGAAGGGTTCCTGTTTCTCCACATACTCACCAACACTTGTTATTTGTTGATGATAGCCATTCTGACAGGTGTGAAGTGTATCTTATTGTGGTTTTAATTTGCACTTCTCTGGTGATTAGTGATGTTGAGCATATTTTTCACAAGTATATTGGTCATCTTTATATCCTCTTTGGAGAAGTGTCTACCCTGAAAATGTGACCCAATCCTTTACACAAATTTCGGAAGAGATGCGCACAAAACAGGAGACAAAAGAAATGGTTTTAACATCATTGGTCTTCTGGCTTTACTGACTGCAACCGTGGGAGACTAGTCTATCTCAGTTTCCCTCTTTTAAAGAAATAAAATTTATGGCCTCTCTTCCATTCCTTAAAACCACATTATAATTGTGTATCAGGTGTGGAGCAGTTATGGGGGCGGTGTGTGTAGTGCAGGGACGCTGCAGCCAGGGTGTTGGGTCTGGGTCCTATCTAGATTGGCACTGAGGAATGGAGATCATCTCTACCACGTGCAGTAGTTCTCAACCTTCTGGCCCCTTAAATACAGTTCCTCATGTTGTGACCCAACCATAAAATTATTTTCGTTGCTACTTCACAACTGTAATGTTGCTACTGTTATGAATCGTAATGTAGATAGCTGATATGCAGGATGGTCTTAGGCAACCACTGTGAAAGGGTCGTTCGACCGCCAAAGGGGTCGCGACCCACAGGTTGAGAACCGCTGAGTAGTAGGGCTCTTGTACTATGAAACGGGGAAGCAGCAGGTGATCTGTTATCATTATTATCACCTAACAAGTCATAATTGGGGCTTGACATGAAGGAGGAGGCTGGACCAGTTGTCTCAAAGTCTTTTCCGTCCAGAATTCTACAGTAAGGTCTGAGACAAATACCTCGGCTCTGACCGGTGCCCTTCCGGAGCAGCAGTCATTTGGGAATCCAGACCTGAAACTCGCAAATCACGGAGCACCTAGGACACTGCGAATCCTGCGCGTGCGCAGAGGTGCGGTCTCGCCCCTTCTTTCATTGGTGAATGGACTGTTCCATTCCTGACAGGTGTTGACTGGAGAGAATTTGGAAGCCTGGGCTTGGAGGTACAAGCGCGTGGCTAGTAGTTACTGCATGTTGCTGAATGATTTATCGCTTATTATTATCTATTTCTACCCTGACGCCTGCAACAGGCTTCTGAAAAGAGTTTGGAACGGTTCCACCGTCCATCCTCCCCCTCTCAACTGGGAGCGTTAGGGCTGCCCGACGTGACGGCCAGGTACGGAAGCCCAGAGGGCCACGCCCACTTCCAGGGCCCCGCCCCGCCGCGCCCCGCCCCCTGCCTCTCGCAGATCCTCCAGCCCGCGGAGCCTGGGGCCGCTCCTCCTTCTCTCCGCCCCGCCGGCCGCAGGCGCGGGGACGTCAGCGCTGCCAGCGTGGAAACGGCGGCGGGGCACGGGAGGCGGAAGTGGCGCCTGGGACTGTGTGCCTCCCTCGGGCTCCGCCGGCCGCCTCGACCATGGACGTGTCCCTGGACAAGGTTCGTACCGGAGGCGGGAGGCGGCGCTGCGGCCCGGGTTCTCCACCTCCGGGGCGACTGTTTCCCGGTCGCGAGCTGCCATTGTGACTGGAGAGGGGCCGGGGGTTAACCGGCCGGTCCTGAGGAGGCCTGGCCGCGAGCGGTCTGGTTACGTCAGGGGGGCCGGGAGCCTCTCGGGTCCCTGTGGACCGAGGGAGGCTGGGCCGGGTTCTGCCCGGGCCACGAGCGCCCTGGAGCCCTGCGCGGGGCCGACCTTGCGGCCTTCTGCGCGCGGCTGGTCCATTGGGATGACAGAGCTCGCAACTTGCGGCCCCAGAAGCGCCCGGAGAGCAGCCCCAGGTGTTTGGGAGCCAGCTGCAAACCTGTAGATTTTCTGTGGCTTCCAAGTTAGGAAGGGAAAGCACGAAAGCAGTGGTGCTCCGGTGACAGCGTGCCTAGGAAGCCCCTGAAGTCCGTGCTAAAAACCCAGCTTTGCATCCTGGAGTCCGAACCTTTGGGGGGCGGGGCCGGGAGCTGCGTGTTGAACAAGTTCCCCCACGTGATTCTGATGCTGTAGTTTGTGAACGCAGATGGAGACCGCGGAGGTCAAGGACGGGGTGAGCCTTGGGTAGGTGGTGAGTTTCTTTTTGAGGATTGCTGCTGCTCCGCACGCGTCTAGCTCCCCGGGCGGGGGCGGGGGCGGGGAGCCCCTCGGGTCCATCCGAAATCTCCTGGAGCAGCGCTCCCCTCCGGTTTCCCGGGCGGAGGGGCACGGGAGCGTGATGTACCTGGCTGACCGCACTGGGGTGTGAAATGGATTCTCATTGTCCCGGGTTTAGGGCTTGTAAGTGACCGCCGGTGCTCGGATCTCTTCCTGGACACCTACCTCCAGGACCTGACAGACACTCTGCCCTCCCTTCACGTCCTTCTTCCTGTTCACGCCGGGCGGGACTGCTCGTCCAGACCCAGTTTTTTCACACATGCAGAATTCGGGAGCAAGTCTAGTGCTTTAGAACGGCGTTCTTTTAATTTTGAACTGGCAGGAGTAACAGATGTTGTCGTTTGTCAATGCCTACAGCTGCTGTAGATTTGTTATTCTGCCTCTGGACAGATGAAGGAAGTATTGTTGTACAAGTTCAGCCTGATGTCTTCCATGTGCCCACAGGGGTATACCCCACACCTAGGCTGCGTCTCATACATTTTGGAGTATGCAATCAAGAAAATAAAAAGTAATGTTTTTCTTCCACTGCCTATCTGGCGAATGTTACATGTTTTTCTGGCTAGGAATAAAGTCTTTCCAGGCTTTTGATTAGCACAGTTCTCACCTTTGGGTAATTTGAGTTGTAGTCTAGATCAGTGGCTCTCAGCCGGGGCAGTTTTGTTTCCCAGGGAACTCTCCGCGTTGTCTGGAGACATTGTTTTATTATGGTAAGGAGTGGGTAGAGAGGAGCTGCTAGCACTGTGTGGGTGGTGGCCAGGGCTGTTGCTAAACATCCTACATTGCACAGGACAACCCCTAGACCAGAGAATGATCTGCTCAAAATGTCAGTGGTGCTGAGGTTGAGGGCATCCTGGTCTAGATCATGTGTGTAACACCAATAGTTGAATACAGAAATAATGCTCAAAATGTCCCTCTAGTGTCGTCTTTCCAATTTCATGAGAAGATGGGGTGGGCTTTTGTCATATCAATTAAAAACCTAAAGAACTGGGGTGATCTTTCCTCCCAGAAAAGTTCTTTGTAGGCAAATCTGCAAACCAGAGTGGGTTGGCATCCTACTTTAATTATTACTTTTCTGACATTTGATTGGTAGATTAGAGTGGTTGCTCTGTAAATGTTAATTGATGATAAAAGATCTTCAATTCTCCAAATGAAGAGCTGAAGAGGTACTGAAACTCCAAAGTTCTTAAGGCTGGAGCATTCGCACAAATTGCAGTGATCTTTTAGGAATGCAGAATGTGTGGGTTGGAAGTTTCTGCCTTAGGCCAGTGTGGAAAAATTCTGAATGTAAGTTTTTCAGAACTAAGATTGTGTCTTATTTTTACATTTCATGAAGCAGTAGAGGGCCTTACATGTAATGAACAATTGCTCTTGGTGCTGAGTGGGCAGAAAAGAAAAAGCATTGATATAATATTAATAGCAGGATTTTGTGTTCTGAGGATTTTGTGTTCTGAAAAATAGTTTAAATTTAAAACATTGAATTGTGCCCATTCCTGTTTCTTTGAGGAATAGGCTTTTCCGAGCTAAATTCTACTTTATAAATTTGAGAACTATTTGAGCAGTTCTGAATGATCTCATTTAAACGGATCCTTGCATAATTTATACTGCCTATAGACACCACAATGTTATTTGATACCCAGCCTCTAAAATATCGAGTAATCTCTCTCACTTTAAAATGTAGTATGCGATCATTTAGTGGAATCACTCAGTGCATTTCCTTGGTCCAAATATAATTGTGTTCTTGCTTTTTCTTTTTTTTTTTTTTAGGTGATATGTAGATGTGCAGACCTGCGATTACATATTCTTGTCGTTTTTTCACAATAGTATCAGTTTTCTTCTTGTATCTGAAATTAATGATGTCTCAAGAAACCAGATAGGTTAATTGAAGGGGCCAGGTATTCAAACTAGAAGAGTAGGAGTGGGAGCCTCAGCCCTCCAATACTGTATGTCTTAATGGATAAGAAAAAGGCCCTACAGCATAATCTCACAGTGCTTACTTACGTTAATATTCAAGTTTTAAAATGCCACAGGAAGTAATTATTCTGATGCTGAAATTCTTGATAAGTTATTCAACACACCGACATATACTTTTTAGTAAAAACCTGCTGCTTTAAATTAGAAGAACCACCCAGACCTTTTTCTGTTGTTTGGAAAATCTCATTCTTCCTGGGTATTATGTTTAGACAAGGGTGTATTGCAGTTTGTTTTGCATTTACTTTAATTCCAACCTTGAGTAAACTTAGAGCAGGGTTTTCCAAACTAGCACTGCTGACATTTTGGGCTGGATCATTCTCTGTTGTGGGAGCTGTTGTGTGCATTATAGAATGTTTAGCTGCATGCCTGGCCTCTACCCACTAGATGCCAGTAGCAAACCTCCCCCTCCCCGCGTGTGACCACCAAAAGCCTGTCCAGATGAAGCAGTTGTTTTCTCGGGGTGGGAGGAATTGCCTCAGGTTGAGAAACACTAACTTAGAGAACCTAGACCTGCACTGTCCAGTATGGTAGCCACCGGTCACACATTTGGCTTTAAATATTTAAATTTAGGTTAATTAAAATTAAATAAAATTAATTCTGTTCTCAGTCACACAAGCCACATTTCAAGTGCTCAACAGTCACGGTGTGTTTTTTTGGCTACAATGTGGCTACTGAACAGTGCAGATATAGAACTTTTCATCCCCATAGAAAGTTTTGTTGGACAGTGTTGCAGAGTGAGGCCAGTTTATCTGTTGTATGTCTAATTCTTTTCTCTAAAAGAGGGGACTTGGACCCCATTTCTGACCTAACTAATTACAATCCAACCCATTTTTATTTCTTGTACTCATCCTGAGCTAAGTGCTTTCCCCCCTTTAGATCTGATTAGGAAAATTATTTATCACCTTACTGTCTATAAGTTTATAAGGAGTAGTAGGAGCATGGGTGGAACATTCCTGATCATTACTGAAAAGGACTACCAGAATTTCTGTTCCTGCTTTTTACTTTAAAGCTCACAAAAAGGACCCCTAATAGCCAAACTTGAAACGACCAGTTTCTGTGGTATGCCTTTCTAGATTCCACTCTTACTTAGAATGGAGGCTTCTGTGAGGAGATGATAGCCTGTAATTTTAGTGTTTGTTTAAAGCCAATTCCTGTATCATCATAACATGAGGGTTTTGCATACAGGTGCATAGTGGTTAAGATGGTAAATGATTACCAAATGCTGGGTGTCAGACAAAACTTGGTAGGTACAAAGTTCTGATCCTAAAAATTTATGGCCTTAGGGATTCTTTTTTTTTAAAGCATCTTTTTTTTAAAGAATAATTCTTTATCTTTATTGTTGAAAGTATTATACATGTCTCCTCCCCCCCCCCCCCATTAACCCCCTCCTGCCACCCCCAACCCCAAGACTTCACCACCCCATTGTCTGCGTCCATGGGCCATGCATATATGCATACAGGGTCCTTGGTTGATTACCTCCCACGCACCCACCCTCCCACTGCCTTCTCTCCGAGATTCCACACACCTTTCCATGCTTCCATTTCAATATATTTTTATTGATTTCAGAGAGCAAGGGAGAAGAGAGAGAGATAGAAGCATCAATGATGAGGATCATTTATCATCTGTCTTCTCCACACCCCTACTGGGGTTTTATGCCCTTGACCGGAATCGAACCTTGGAACCCTCAGTCTGCAGGTTGAAGGCTGTATACACTGAGCCAAACTGGTTAGGGGTCGGGGATTTTTGGGGTTATTTAAAAATAGCCGAGGAGCCAAAACAGAACTATTAATGGGCCCCAGTTCCTGGGATTCCCCAAATATAGGCTTATGATTGTAATTTTAGAAGGAGTAAGTGGGGCCCCATGGCGCGTGTTTTCACCCAAAGGCAGAAGGTGGGTTGCCTTTAATTTTATTTTAATTTTTTTAAAAGTATGTTTTTTTTGTCCCGGCCAGGTGCTCAGGGGTAGAACAACATTTCACAAAACCGAAGGGCAGGGTTTGTGTCCCATTAAGGCACATAACCTGGGTTGCGGGTC